TTCATACTTTCCCATTCTGTGTTCCTCCTTCACACTTTCATACTTTCCCATTCTGTGTTCTTCCTTCACACTTTCATACTTTTCCATTCTGTGTTCCTCCTTCACATTTTCATACTTTCCTATTCTGTGTTCCTCCTTCACACTTTCCATCTTTCCCATTCTGTGTTCCTCCTTCACACTTTCATACTTTCCCTTTTCAACTGTAGAATTAACACAAAAGTCACAATTTGCTCATGGGGGTATGTTTTGGGAATCATCCTGTCCATCCGTCTGTCTATGATCTTGTAATTAAGAGCAACTTCTCCTAATTTGGCACAGTGAAAGTTCATCATATATACATGTGCATGAAGAGAGGAATTTGCTATTCAACTATTTTACCTGGAGTTATGGCCATTGAAACTGTAACTTTCCACTCCCGAAACGTTATAAGTGCAACTCATCCCTAAACTGTTTGTTGGGTTGTTTTGTAACTTGGCACAGTCAATTAAGTACATCATATGTAGATGTGCATGATGGAAGGTTTCTGTGATTTGTTTATCATAACCCTTGCAAACAAAGTTTCGTTATCTAGATAAGATAAAGTTGTCTTAATTAGTGAGCGTGCTCAAAGTCTCTATAGTTTTGAGTTGTTTGATTATATGGGAGTTCACCATTGTTTAGCCCTTCTTGAATTTGGCAACCCATAGTAGCTTGCCATGGTTTCGTAATGATAATAATAATAATAATATACAACATTTGATATAACGCCCTATCTAGCTAACATAAGCCACTCTAAAGCGCTTTACAGTACATAAATATACAATTAATACAATTAGGATATACACATTTTTGAGGAATTCGCAGGAGCTGCCTTATCAGGCGCTAACTACTAGTCCTATGCCACCTGGCTAATATCCCCCTATGTGTGTATGCCTGCGTGTGTGCTGGAGATGTATTGTGACTATGGACAACTTTAATGTATAGGGCTATGTTTTCTAATGGACTTGATTCTTTTTTCAGCTTCTTTGGGACAAGGCGCATCTACTTCAGTGCTGCTGGCTATCAACTTTAATGACACAACCCAGCCAGCTAAGTTTGATATCTGTACCCAGGACACTAAGTTTGCCGCCAGCATCACGGCTCCTGTAGGAGAACTTCTACTGCCCCACACCATGAGTGAGAGTGAATTTTTACAGCAGCAAGGTCAGTAAATATTAATGTTAGTCTCAATACGGGGCATTAGTTGTTAATTACAACTGGGACCTGAAGTACTGCAAAAGTGCAAATTATCGCAGCATGGAAACGAAAATAGTTTTTAATGTTTAGTAAATTAGCCAGGAAGTATCCACATGCGATATTTATATAGAAATTGTATAGATTATAACCAAAAAAAATTGTGTATATAGACTTCAGAAATATTGTCAATCTGAAAAATTCTACTCTGCGATCAGTTTGAAGAATCACAACACTAACGCTTCAACTTGCTAGAATTTCTATTTTTCAGTATAGTTCATGCGACACTCCCATACTTGTGGGTTTCCTCCAACTCCCCCTGCACTCTGCTGCCATCAAGGACAACAAGAGTGATTTAAAGAAGTTGATAAAACTTATTATACCCCTGCAACGAAGTTAGGGGGGTATACTGGAATCACCCTGTCTGTCTGTCTGTCTGTCTGTCTGTCTGTCTGTCGAAATACCAAATTAAAATGCGGTGCACAACTACATAAGATACATCTATCTGTCGTCCACAGTAACTTGTCTGTGCAAATCCTCCTTAAGTTAACTAACAAGTGGATTTCATTGAAACTTTGCATGAATGATCAGTATCTTATGTAGTTGTGCACTGGCATTTTAATTTGGGATTTTGGACCCTTTTTGATGGAGTTATGCCCCTTTGTGCGAAATACTTGTCCGTGCAACTCCTCCTTAACTAACAGGTGGATTTCATTGAAACTTTGCATGAATGATTGGTATCTTATGTAGTTGTGCACCGGCATTTTAATTTGGGATTTCAACCCTTTTTGGTGGAGTTATGCCCCTTTTTGCGAAATACTTGTTACTGTTGGGAGACTATTTGCTTTGCCTTAGTTAGCCTTTAGCTTACAGTTCTAGTTTTTTACTTGTTTTAAAATGAATTGAATTGTCTCTAATGATGCAACAATGGTCATAGTAACAGTGCTGGCATTGTTAGGGTTTACACACCTGCCCCTCTGTTTAAAAGTAGTTTAGACGATGAGGGTTTCCACATTTTTGGCTCCTAGCATCCTCAATGAGTCCTAGAAGGACGAAACAGCTGTATGATGCAGTGTAATTCACTATAAGCTTACTGTATCTATATTACAAAATGTTAAAAGTGCAACCACATGTTGTGTGGGATATTCGTCTTTGTAGTATATATAGTAACACTGTTGGCATTGTCAGGGTGTGAAGTACCAAGTAACAGTACTGACGTTGTCAGGGTCTGTAGTACATAGTGACAGTACTGACTTTGTTAGAGTCTGTAGTACATAGTAACAGTGTTGACATTGTCATGGTCTGTAGTACAAAGTAACAGTACTGACGTTGTCAGGGTCTGTAGTACATAGTGACAGTACTGACATTGTCAGGGTCTGTAGTACATAGTAACAGTACTAACATTGTCAGGGTCTGTAGTACATAGTAACAGTAATGACATTGTCAGGGTCTGTAGTACAAAGTAACAGTACTGACATTGTCAGGGTCTGTATAGTAGTACAAAGTAACAGTACTAACATCGTCAGGGTCTGTAGTACATAGTAACAGTACTGACTTTGTCAGGGTCTGTAGTAAAAAGTGACATTACTATCATTGTCAGGGTCTGTAGTACATAGTAACAGTACTAGTACTGATATTGTCAGGGTCTGTAGTACTAGTAACAGTACTAGTACTGACATTGTCAGGGTCTGTAGTACTAGTAACAGTACTAGTACTGACATTGTCAGGGTCTGTAGTACATAGTAACAGTACTGACATTGTCAGGGTCTGTAGTACAAAGTAACAGTACTAACATTGTCAGGGTCTGTAGTACATAGTAACAGTACTAGTACTGATATTGTCAGGGTCTGTAGTACTAGTAACAGTACTAGTACTGGCATTGTCAGGGTCTGTAGTACCTAGTAACAGTGTTTACATTGTCAGGGTCTGTAGTACATAGTAATAATACTAGTACTGACATTGTCAGGGTCTGTAGTTCATAGTAACAGTACTGACATTGTCAGGGTCTGTAGTACAAAGTAACAGTACTAACATTGTCAGGGTCTGTAGTACATAGTAACAGTTTTGACATTGTCAGGGTCCGTAGTACATAGTAACAGTACTGTCATTGTCAGGGTCTGTAGTACATAGTAAAAGGACTGACATTGTCAGGGTCTGTAGTACATAGTAACAGTACTAACATTGTCAGGGTCTGTAGTACATAGTAACAGTGTTGACACTGTCAGGGTCTGTAGTACATAGTAACAGTGTTGACACTGTCAGGGTCTGTAGTACATAGTAACAGTGTTGACACTGTCAGGGTCTGTAGTACATAGTAACAGTGTTGACACTGTCAGGGTCTGTAGTACATAGTAACAGTGTTGACACTGTCAGGGTCTGTAGTACATAGTAACAGTGTTGACACTGTCAGGGTATGTAGTACATAGTAACAGTACTTACATTGTCAGGGTGTGTAGTACATAGTAACAGTGTTGACATTGTCAGGGTCCGTAGTACATAGTAACAGTACTGTCATTGTCAGGGTCTGTAGTACATAGTAAAAGTACTGACATTGTCAGGGTGTGTAGTACATAGTAACAGTGTTGACATTGTCAGGGTCTGTAGTACATAGTAACAGTGTTGACATTGTCAGGGTCCGTAGTACATAGTAACAGTACTGACATTGTCAGGGTCTGTAGTACATAGTAAAAGTACTGACATTGTCAGGGTGTGTATAACATAGTAACAGTACTGACATTGTCAGGGTCTGTAGTACAAAGTAACAGTACTAACATTGTCAGGGTCTGTAGTACATAGTAACAGTGTTGACATTGTCAGGGTCTGTAGTACATAGTAACAGTACTGACATTGTCTGGGTCTGTAGCACATAGTAACAGTACTGACATTGTCAGGGTCTGTATAGTAGTACAAAGTAACAGTACTGACATTGTCAGGGTCTGTAGTACATAGTAAAAGTACCGACATTGTCAGGGTGTGTATAACATAGTAACAGTACTGACATTGTCAGGGTGTGTAGTACATAGTAACAGTACTGACATTGTCAGGGTCTGTAGTATATAGTTACAGTACTGACATTGTCAGGGTCCGTAGTACATAGTAACAGTACTGACATTGTCAGGGTCTGTAGTACATAGTAACAGTATTGACATTATCATGGTCTGTAGAACAAAGTAACAGTACTGACATTGTCAGGGTGTGTAGTACATAGTAACAGTACTGACATTGTCAGGGTGTGTAGTACAAAGTAACAGTCCTGACATTGTCAGGGTCTGTAGTACATAGTAACAGTACTGACATTGTCAGGGTCTGTAGTACATAGTAACAGTATTGACATTATCATGGTCTGTAGAAGAAAGTAACAGTACTGACATTGTCAGGGTGTGTAGTACATAGTAACAGTACTTACATTGTCAAGGTCTGTATAGTAGTACAAAGTAACAGTACTGACATTGTCAGGGTCTGTAGTACATAGGAACAGTGTTGACACTGTCAGGGTCTGTAGTACATAGTAACAGTAATGACATTGTCAGGTTCTGTAGTACATAGTAACAGTACTGACATTGTCAGGTTCTGTAGTACAAAGTAACAGTACTAACATTGTCAGGGTTTGTAGTACATAGTAACAGTACTGACATTGTCATGGTCTGTAGTACATAGTAACAGTACTGACATTGTCAGGGTCTGTAGTACCTAGTAACAGTACTGACATTGTCAGGGTCTGTATAGTAGTACAAAGTAACAGTACTGACATTGTCAGGGTCTGAAGTACATAGTAACAGTACTGACATTGTCAGTGTCTGTAGTACATAGTAACAGTAATGACATTGTCGGGTTCTGTAGTTCATAGTAACAGTACTGACATTGTCAGGTTCTGTAGTACATAGTGACATTGATGACTTTGTCAAGATGTGTTGTTGACTTTGTCAGGGTCTGTAGTACATAGTAACAGTACTGACATTGTCAGGTTCTGTAGTACATAGTGACAGTGATGACTTTGTCAAGATGTGTTGTTGACTTTGTCAGGGTCTGTAGTACATAGTAACAATGTTGACGTTGTCAGGGTCTGTAGTACATAGTAACAGTAATGACATTGTCAGGGTCTGTAGTACATAGTAACAGTGATGACATTGTCAAGGTGTGTAGTACAAAGTAACAGTACTGATATTGTCAGGGTCTGTAGTACATAATAACAGTACTGACATTGTCAGGGTGTGTGTGTAGTACATAGTAACAGTACTGACATTGTCAGGGTGTGTAGTACATAGTAACAGTACTGACATTGTCAGGGTATGTAGTACATAGTAACAGTACTGACATAGTCAGGGTCTGAAGTACATAGTAACAGTACTGATATTGTCAGGGTCTGTAGTACATAATAACAGTACTGACATTGTCAGGGTGTGTAGTACATAGTAACAGTACTGACATTGTCAGGGTCTGTAGTACATAGTAACAGTATTGACATTGTCAGGGTCTGTAGTACATAGTAACAGTACTTACATTGTCAGGGTGTGTAGTACATAGTAACAGTACTGACTTTGTCAGGGTCTGTAGTACAAAGTAACAGTGATGACTTTGTCAAGATGTGTTGTTGACATTGTTAGGGTCTGTAGTACAGATAGACATTGTTAGGGTCTGTAGTACAGATAGACATTGTTAGGGTCTGTATAGTACAGATTGACATTGTTGAACTTGTCAGGTTGAAGTTGCTGACATTGTCAGGGTGTGTTGCTGACACTATCAGTGTTATGTGATGGAGAGGTTGACAGCGTCAACATCAGTGTCCTTATCAACCTGTGGTTGCTGTGGCTGTTTATTGATCCCACTACCGGTAGTACACAATATACTTTGTAGATCTTTATTGTACCTGTCAGGCTCCAAAACTAATCAATGTATCTACAGAGACTAATATAGTAAATGTTCTCCAAACTAATTCATTTTCAATTTTGATTTCCCTGATACCGAAATTA